CTTAGGTCTTCATTCCCTCAATACGGTGACTTGTATGACGAGCGAAGGTTACGTTTTGGCTTATACGGTGCAAGTAATTCTTTGAAATAAGCAGAGCAATATCCATTTTTAAACATTTATTAACCGTTGTAAAATCCTGAAATAATTTTCTGCGAAATAGAAAGCCAATAAGACCCTACCAAAATTGTGAAATGTTAGTTTCTTCAAGAATCGAGTCGATTCGAATTATCTTATTACCTGTCCTACGCACGTCTGCTACCTGAATTTTGCTAAGTGGTTATGTCAAAATATAACATGAATTATTTATTTAAAAAAAAAAATCGTTAGAGGATGTTGAAGAAAAGTAGAGGTATCAACTATCATCTGAAAACGTGTCCCTCCAACAAATTACACAACTTTGGGTTAAGTATTTAAATATTCTATTTCATTATGTTTTAGCATGTTATTTAAATACACGTCTTTTACGATAATCAGTAGTGAGCATTTCCAACACCAATATTATAGCATGCGGTTCTTTTATATTAAAAGCATTAAAATTCGTGTTACGGCGTCGCTTTTCGTCCTTTTGGCTAAGATCATGTGTAATATCTGTTCTTTTCAGCTTAATATCTGAAACGCTGCTCATTGAGTAGCTTCGAATATTAAACTGATTTTTTAACTTAGGCTATGGAACAAGGGCTTGCTCCTTCTTGGCCACGGGTTGACCTGGTATTGCAGCGCATTCAGGACCAGCCCATCCTCTACAGAGGAAAATATGTCTTTGAAAAAACAGAATCGAAATAACAACAATTGATATCTATATAATTTACATGTATATTGCTCAAAGCGACTGGGATTAAGGGTAAGTAATAGGTAACTGGAAAAATGCCCCGAGGAACTTAATCCGCAAATTCGTAAATCACAAAAATGCTGGTGGTGGTGGTGATGCTGCTATCTATACGGTAGCTATCCTGTTTTATTCATAAATTTTACTTTTGAATCATTAGAAAACAGTGACACAGTACACTGTCTGGATTTACAATTTAACAACAGTGTAGGAAGCATGAGTATATATCGTAAAAATGCACATACAGGTCAATATGTCCATTATGATAGATTTGCTCCATGGAACCATAAGATCTCCTGTAGTTTAGTTTCTAGAGCCCACAGATTGTGTACTCCTGATAAACTTCAAACAGAGCTTGTAACATCAGGAAGTTTATATCTTAGAATGGGTACCTTTTAAAAGTTGTTAATAATGCACTTAAGAAATTAAATGAACCTAAATGTATACATAGGCCTACTGATGATAGCTTGATTAAGAAAGTTACCCCCATTAAGAGTTGCAAGTTTCAATGGAGACCCTCTGAAGTCTGTCTCTTATACACATCTAGATGTGTATAAGAGACAGTTTTAAATGTCCAGGCTGCAATAGTGATTATATTGGTAAGACAGATAGGTGCTTAATAACTAGACTTAAAGAACATTCTTCACGATCTGATAGTGTTATATTTGATTATGTTAAAAACTGTGAGGCATTCCAATTTGTTTTAGGATTACAGGGTATACTTGAAAATGATCATGTCGTCTGTAATGTAAGTAATAAATTAGGTTTAATATTTTCTAGTACTAACATTATTGACAGCTCCCGAAACTGGTCTATCCTATTGTTTAAAGAAGCGTTCGCTATACGTAGACTACACCCTTTGCTTAACAATGGGCTCAGAGCTTCAAAAGAGCTTTCTTTGTTTTTGTAGGTATCTTTGATCATTAGAGTAAGAATACTTTGATCTCTTGTTTAAATCACTGCTATGTCACCTACTAGAGGTAATGTTTTGATTGGAAAGTATAATACATACTCCAAGTATTGAAATACACGTCATCGTGTTGGGATTCAATATTTCGACATTAATTATGTCATCATCAGGAAAGGGTTTCGGGATTCACAAGTTACACACTTTTGGTACTAGTGCATATAAGCTTGCTAATATGGATAATTTTTCATTCCTGATGACATAATTAATGTCGAAATATTAAATCCCAACACGATGGCGTGTATTTCAATACTTGGGGTATGTATTATGCTTTCTTATCTGAGATTAATCAGTGGACCTTTCTGTTTTATTCAAGTACAAAAAATAAAAAAATGAATAAAATATATCTACAGAATCGGTGATACAACTAAATTGTAAGCAGGCCATGTGCCTCGATAATTTCGTACGAGATTCGAGTCAATTCACATTTTTAACCTTACATGTGTCCTACGCGCATCTGCTACCTGAATTCACTGCCCAAGAAACATTTGAAAACTTCACATAAATTAATTGTATGAAGTCAGGAGGGGATGTTAAGTAAAGGTAGAAGTATATGTCGCTTTCCCTTCGGAATTATCAACTATCATCTGAAAATATGTCCCTCCGATAAATAACATAAGTTTTTTTTAACATATTATTTAAATACACGTATTTTACGATAAGAATTAGGCCTAATGAGCATTTCCAACACCAATATTCTAGCGTGCTGTTCTTTTATATTAAAAGCATAGTTATTGGTGTTGCGGCATCGCTTCTCGGCCTTTTGGCTAAGATCATGTGTAATATCTGTTCTTTTCAGCTTAATATCTGAAACGTTTCTTATTGAGTAGCTTTGAATATTAAACTGATTTTTGAATCTAGGCTATGGAGTAGGAGCTTGCTCCGTCCTGGCCACGGGTTGACCTGGTATTGCAGTACATTCAGGATCAGCCCATCCTCTACAGAGGAAAATATATCTTTAAAAAACAAAATCGAAATAGCAACCATTAACAACTAGGCCTCTATACTTTACGTATACACTCTCGTATACAGATTGAAATATATCTTTAAAAAATATATTGGCCTATCTTTTAAAAAAGCAGAATCAAAATAACAACTATTAAGATCATAATATAGTTTACGTGTATATTGCTCAAAGCGATTGAGAGGGTAGTCCAGTGCTGTACATCTAGAAAACACTAAACCCGCTAGTTCATAACTCACAAAATCTCTAGATGCTGGAAACTGCGAAATGCGATTGAGATTCAGGCAGTAATTATACCTGAAAATACCCTGAAATATAACTATCTTATCCTATTAAATCATTAAAGAAAGAAAACATAAAGATTCAATAAGACAAACAATTGTGAGCAGGGCTCCATCGGGTGAGTTTTTTGCGATCTCTTGAACAAACCAAACGCTGAAAGACCGATTGGAGTTTTGGTGCGGAATCTGCAAAATCTCCCATTGTGCGCTTAGGTCTTCATTCCCTCAATAGTGACTTGTATGACAAGCGAAGGTTACGTTTTGGCTTATACGGTGCAAGTAATTCTTGCAAATAAGCAGAGCAATATCCATTTTAAAACATTTTAACCGTTGTAAAATCCTGAAACAATTTTCTGCGAAATAGAAAGCCAATAAGACCCTACAATAATTGTGAAATGGTAGTTTCTTCAAGAATCGAGTCGATTCGAATTATCTTATTACCTGTCCTACGCACGTCTGCTACCTGAATTTTGCTAAGTGGTTATGTCAAAATATAACATGAATTATTTATTTTAAAAAAAAATCGTTAGAGGATGTTGAGGAAAGGTAGAGGTATCAACTATCATCTGAAAACGTGTCCCTCCAACAAATTACACAACTTTGGGTTAACTATTTAAATATTCTATTTCATTATGTTTTAGCATGTTATTTAAATACACGTCTTTTACGATAATAAGTAGTGAGCATTTCCAACACCAATATTATAGCATGCAGTTCTTTTATATTAAAAGCATTGAAATTCGTGTTACGGCATCGCTTCTCGGCCTTTTGGCTAAGATCATGTGTAATATCTGTTCTTTTCAGCTTAATATCTGAAACGCTGCTCATTGAGTAGCTTCGAATATTAACTGATTTTTTAACTTAGGCTATGGAACAGGAGCTTGCTCCGTCCTGGCCACGGGTTGACCTGGTATTGAAGTACATTCAGGACCAGCCCATCCTCTACAGAGGAAAATATGTCTTTGGAAAAACAGAATCGAAATAACAACAATTGATATCTATATAGTTTACATGTATATTGCAACATATGTAACAGGAAAAATGCCCCGAGGAACTTAATCCGCCAATTCGTAAATCACAAAAACGCTGGTGATGCTGCTATCTATACGGTAGCTATCCTGTTTTATTCAAGTACAAAAAATAAAAAAATAAATAAAATATATCTACAGAATTCGAGTCGATTCACATTTTTTACCTTACATGTGTGCTACGCGCATCTGCTACCTGAATTCACTGCCCAAGAAACATTTGAAAACTTCACATAAATTAATTGTATGAAGTCAGGAGGGGATGTTGAGTAAAGGTAGAATTATATGTCGCTTTCCCTTCGGAATTATCAACTACCATCTGAAAATATGTCCCTCCAATAAATTACACAACTTTGTGTTTGTCTTTAAAATATTCTATTACATAAGTTTTTTTAACATATTATTTAAATACACGTATTTTAAGATAAGAATTAGGCCTAATGAACATTCCAACACCAATATTCAGGACCATCCTCTACAGAGAAAAATATATTCTCGAAAAATACTGAATTGAAATAGCAACCGTTAACATCCGTATAATTGCTTAAAGCGATTGAGATTAATGGTAGTAACTGGTACACTTCTAGAAAACTCTTAACCAACCCGTTAGTTCATAACTCACAAAATCTCTTGTGATGCTGGAAACTGCTCAATGTACCTGGCAATACCTTAAAATATAAACTATCTTTATCTTATTAAATTATTTTTTAAAAAAGCACCAAAATATAAAGAATCGATATGAAAACCGATTGTGAGCAAGCTCCTCGGGTGAGGTTTTGGCGATGTTTTGAACGAACTAAACGCTGGTAGATAACTCAAATAGTATGCCAATAAAAACTTACAAAAATGGTGAAATGAGGTTCCTTCATCATTTTTTTTTGTATTTAGCATGGGACAATACATCTTTAAATAGCATTGAAATTCGTGTTACGGTATCGCTTCTCGGCCTTTTGGCTAAGATCAAGTGTATAATATCTGTTTTTTCAGCTTAATATCTGAAATGCTACTCATTGATTAGCTTCGAATATTAAACCAATTTTTTAACTCACGCTCTGGAATAGGAGCTTGCTCTCTCGTGGCCACGGATTGACCTGATATTACAGTATTCAAGACCAACCCATCCTCTACAGAGGAAAATGTATCTTAAAAACAGAATCGAAATAACAACTATTAACATTTGTATATTTTACATATATTACATAAAGATGCTGAATGCTATTGAGGTAACAGGCCTACCTCAATGCAAACTCTCAACTAATCCGCCAGTTCATAACTCATAAAAGCTCAAGTGACGCTGAAAACTGCTCAAATGCTCAATGTGATTGCTCCCTGATCTAACTATCTTATCCTATTAAACCATTAAAAAAACGAAATATAAAGATTCGATGATACAATCAGGAGCACAGCTTCATCGGGTGAGTTTGTTTACGATCTCTAAATGAACCAAATGCTGGTAGAATATCGAACTGAGTTTTGATGCGGCATCTGCAAAATCTCCCTATGTGCGTTTAGGTCTTCGTTTGTCAGTAGGCCTAGTGACTTGTTTGATGAGCGAAGGTTAAGTTTCGGTTTTATAAATGTAAGTAATCCTTGCTAAAAAACAGAGCAATATCCAATATCCCTCCAATAAATTACACAACTTTGAGTTAGGACTGTACTCGTCAATTACGATATGGAGTACAGAAGCATTTCCAACACCAATATTCTAACGTACTGTTGTTTAATGTTAATAAAATTGGTACTGGTATTACGGCATTAATTCTCGGCATCTTGGCTAAGAACATTTTTAATGTCTGCTCTTGTCAGCTTAGTATCTGAAACCCTTTGTTGAGTAGCTTCAGTTATTATTTTATTCCTTTGTTGCTTATATTTTGTTCTGTTTTGGATCACCTTTTTTAAAATGAGGCTACGGAATAGGAGCCTTCTCTGTCCCGGCCAGGGTTGGCCTGGTATTGCAGTACATTCAGGATCCGGCTAACTCCAATATACCGCTTCAAGTATTGAGGACTGGTCGTTTCCTCAGTGTCTACACCAAGTCAGCATGCACACACACACCCTCAAACACACGACATCAAGCATTTTAATTGAGTTATATCATTGGAACTTTACCCCAAAGCTGAACTATCACCACCGCCAAGAAAGCCACTGAAAAAAATCCCAATCCACCTACGCCATTAACACAAAGAAACCAGTTCCCCAACTCACAATTGAAATTAGGAATAAAAATTATGAAATATACATAAAACTAGTACTCATAGGTAGAATTTCCAATACTTAAAATGGGTATCTAAAAAAAGAGAATGAATTAATGATTGAATGTGTGTCAGATGTTGATAATTAAAAGGGGCATGATGATGAGTGTAATAAGCCTCTGTATACAAAACTAGGTCAAGTTTGTGGATTTATTCTCTGACAATTTCTAAATACCACCTGTTGATGGGAAGGGACAATACTTTACGATGTCAAGGCTAAAACTGTTATTAATATTTATTATTTTATTATTATTATTACTATTATTATTAACTTTATTATATAGGTAAATAATAATAATATAATAATAATAATAATAATAATAATAATACTATAATAATAATAATAATAATCATAATAATAATAATAGTAATAATAATAATAATAATAATAATAATAATAATAATAATAATAATAATAATAATTCGGAGAAGCAACGTGAGAGCTAGGCCAAGGAGATGAGGTTCCTTGATGGAAGCACTACGCGTGCGTATCACTTAGCAGTTTCCATGGAAGTTTGGACTACAATTGACAAGTGCATAATCTGTCTCTTATACACATCTAGATGTGTATAAGAGATAGATTTTTCAGTGGGATTGAGCACTGTTTCACAAAAAATTGAGATATTTTTTTTTTATATATATATATATATATATATATATGTAGTGTAGGTTGAAACCAGATCATTTACAACCAGTGCATGGGTAGAGCAGTATATAAAAAAAAACAAGATGACGCTTGGTTACAAATTCAACATTTCATTGCACTACAGACTGTTTCATGAGGTACTTCCTCAATCGACAGGTGCTATTATCTAATGAGACTGCAGAATAACAATCATGCATGATTATAATGATTATATATATATATATATATATATATAATGTATATATACATATAATTATATAAATGTGTGTGTGTGTTTATATATTATATCAGTTATATGAAAGAAAGTGTCTAGGGGTTAGATCTGTGGTCTTATTGTGTGGTACTCGCCTTGATAGCGAGAGGTTGCAGGTTCGAGTATATATAGTATACATTACACATACAACATGTACCGTTTGGTTGCTGGTGGTAATAAAATTTGCTAACTGATTTCAGATACCTTATCCCCGATCTTAGTCTGTGAACTTAATGTCTAGTCATGTGGTTTGCAATATCCGATTCTTTTGACGTTCTTCGAATCCCACTGGAACGCATTCATAGGTGAACATATCCCTCCTTGATGTATTTGCGTCATCATTGTCACAGTAGATGAGCTATAGATTTAATTAATTAATCGATAAGACAGTCATTCGTTTATATTTTCAGACATTTGTGTATATAAACAAATATTAAATAGTATGCGTCCCATAATTAACGAATGAACAATAGAGAAACGATAAATATAACATTAAACAATGCGAACAGCAGCAATAAATCTGCATACAAATATTCAACTTCTAGTATTCATCCTTATATGATTACAAGTTGGTAAATACGTCAATGTTGACAATTAAATGGTGTGATAATAGCTTCATCGTTTTGATTTATGTAATAGTCCAGAGTCATTAGCAACAAAGTGTCGAAAAATCAGGGGTGTTGGAGTGGAGGGGGGGGGGAGGGGTCAGAACCAAGAGGCTGTTATACTCTGTCAGACTCCCTGAATAAATCGCAGTTTCTGGCAAGACACGAGGGCCAGGCGACTGGTAGGCCTAGTAATTACATGCTAGTTGTTAGACGGGAGGAATTCCCCCTTATTCCACTGGTCCCGCCACGAATTGGTAGGCCAATGATGCGCTATATAAATCCAACTCGTTACACTACATTACTGATCTTGATTACTGACCGACCATTTGTATTTACTAGGAGTAGGCCTATTTGTTGTCTATAGACCGGGCTACAGACCTAACCGATATTATTCGATTCTTAGCTGGGGAAGGTATTACACATAGCCAGAATATCCAGACGATCCTGCGCAAGCAGTGGTGGCGCCAAGATTTGCCGACGGAGGAAACGGTGTCCCCGGTGGGGAGAGATTTTCCCGATGAGAACATACGCAGGCCTGGTCATGTTTTGATCAGAGTTTTTCAGAGGGGTCTAGGAGGCGATATCCCCCGGAAGGTAATTTATGGTTTAAGCATTTGAGAGAAAACATCTCACCGACTACCCCACCCCCACTAGACCTATCCCCGTGTGCAAGCCTTTTCCACTCAGCTGCAGAGACTAAAGTCATGGAAAGGAGATATCGTACTCAACCCATTTAATGAATTTAAATGATATGGTAACGAGGTAATCAGACTACCGGCCTGGCAAACTTGCTTGCAGAATGGTACCCCAGACCCTCATGCATGATAGCGACAAATGTTATTAGCATACTGAGCACAAGACAGTTTTCTTCAAACATCCTTGTTTCCTCATTCGAATTAAATAATATTTTTGTGTCCATAAGGTAAAACGTTTCAAAAGAAAGATGAAAGAATTGTTTTGGCGATAATAGGCACACAAGTGTAGCCGGAGGCACAGTGTTACTAACAGATGTAACACCGCCCAGAATAACCCCAAAACAGGGAGTTAAAATGCAAGGTTAGCGAACAAAAAAAAAAACCATCAAAATTGGAAATTGGAAACCAACTATTCCACATTCCGCCAAAGAGCACAATCATCATTGTCTCCTCATTCGAACTAAATTTTCTAATAAAACAACCAATCATTGTTGTAACTTGCGTTACAACAATGTCAAAATTTTTACCTTGATTGGATCCGGATTAATATCTACTTTTTTCTTTTAAATTATCATGATTTATTTTACTTGATAATTCGACTTAGTAAGGTTCCGCACCAAGCGTTATAGTCGTGATTTCGAACATTTAAGTCACATTTCTTTACAATGGAATAGTTACTTGTACTGTTTTACCTTGTAATTTTTGCATCCACTATAATAAAAACACTCCTACTTATTAATGACAGACACTCATAATTTAGATTCTACCAACCCTCCTAAATATTAGATTTTTTTTCTAATGCACTATCACTCGTTTAGCTTTCGTAGAAAACTAGGAATTCATTTGCTATTTGCAAGATTAATGGCGTAAATTTCCGGTTCATCATTAGCGAATAGTCTCTTAATGTCTAGTCCACAGCCACTGCCCTGAACTCTTTGACAAATAGGCGTATGTCTACTGTGTTGGTACCGGTAATTCACTTCTTGCCAGATTGTAGACCTTTTATTAGTGTACTAGGACAGGTCGTATCACAGATAAAGAATGTCTAGCAGCTTTCTGTGTTGCCATTTGAGGACAGGTCTACTTAGCATGGCATAATATTTCGTAAACTTACTTTTTATTTTTATCTTATGACCCATCCCATCGTTCCTCTACCGGATTTACTCTTACAAGGCGATAATAATGTGTCTACTTCCCACTCCCACCCCCAGCGGGGTATTTGAGGCAAACTGCCTTTTAGCTCGTTAAAACCCTTTCTTGTTATTGCTTTGAAACACTTGAGGTGTTTATAACTGAAACACCTGCTTTCAGATATTGTTTTATGAAAACAAAGTTAACTGTTATGTTCATTTGGGTTTCTTCTGCCACCTCAAGAATCTTCCGACATTGTAAAAGCAAGTATACTTGGCCTATGCATTTCCGACGAGCCAAATCGTCTACAGAACACCAAACAAAACATTATGTTTTCAGAATGTAAAAATAAACTTCATTTAACGAGCAAGAACATTGTAAATATTGAGGTTATAAGTATTTATTTAATCGAGCCATATAAACATTACAATGTAAAACAAACGTTGATGTCACAAATCAATGTTGATCTGTATCTAAATTTTACTAGTAGATTTGGAGTAAAGGAACTGCATATCAAAATAATCACCGCGGTCAAGACAAGCTGACATGGGTTTTCTGTCTCCCTGGCAAATAAAACATCGGTAGGGCCTAACACAAGCAGTGTCATGATGGAGACAAAGGTAAGTACCGATAACTTAGATCTAATTGACACAATGACCCAAATGTTCCGATTTATTTACACAAGTACACTTATATAATTCTGTGTATACAATAAGTTCTACAGACGTCGATCATGGATTTCTCTGTGAGTTTAAGATGAAATGAAAACAAGCATAGGAAAATGACTGTATGTATTGGTACTCATTTTGGACTTGATTAGGTCGTTTCGGGAAATCGTTAGTTGGTATTGTAAACAATGTACTTACCAACCTGCAAATTTTTAGAGTGTAACGACTCCATTAGATCTAGATAGGCTTCGATTAGGATTATCATTGTGCGTATATCTGCTTGTAGAAACATCAAATACAAATTAGTCCAATTCGAACTTTATGGAACTTATAACATTCTAAGCTATCATCGTCGTCGTCGTCGTCGCCGTCCATTTTCGTAATTTATTATCAATTTCTCTTTCCAAACTAACCCCTGGGTCACAATACCGATACATAATGTTGCAGTACTACTGTATACGGAATTGGATATCATAGCAAATCATCATCATCATCATCATCATCATCATCATCATCATCATCATTTATAATTACACAGGCTGTTACCAGGGAGGTACGCTTGTCGAAGGTCCTGAAGGCGCCCCGTCGCACTGATATAGAGTCCAGGAGAAGAACATTAAATTAGCCCTGTGGTGGCGCCAGCGTCTGAGACATGATGGGAAGGGGACGTTATGAAAGATAAAATTTAAGGGGGGAGGGTGAGGTTACTCATATTAGATCAGAGATACAAATAAAAAAAAAACTAATGGGAACATTGCCATTTTTTTTAAATTTCTATATTTAAACACACACTTAGGCCTATCTTTTAAAAGAACGATTTTGTTAAATGCGTTGTCTTGTATTGATACTAGTCGACTGCTCTGCGTCGACTCCACAAAAACAATTAACATTATTGGGGGAAATTAGCTGGAGGAAATATTTCGCCTTACCCTCCTCCCCCGTACGCCGTCACTGAGCTTATTGATCACTCATCTAATTAATTCATCAATCATTCCCATGAAGATACCCATGCTAATCACCTCCACATGGTTTGTGTACTGTACTGAACGACGAGTCAATCGTGCGCCAACAATACTCCAACGACTAATAATATATTTCAAAATGATCGTCGTGCGCCGACATAATTCAACAATTGCCAATTAAGGCATATTATTACGGAAGAAGGGTTAACCACAGTAGATGATTGAATCTTTACTAAAGATAATGAAAATTAGGTTAGACAGCGAAATTAAACTTCGTAGCCATTTTTTTAGCTTGGATTTAGCATGAGATCATATGCCAAAAATAGAAACTATTCAGCATTAGTATTTGATTATCTATCGGCTGCTGTGGCCACTCTCGCGCTTTTATTACTTATATGATTTCCTGTAAAAACGTTCATGTAAAAAGTGCGATCCACTGACCCATATACAGACAAGGAAAGACACGGAACGTGCTTCCCTCCCAATTTTTCTATATTCTGGGAATAAACACGTTTAAAGGTTCTCTTTCATTTCAATCCTAAATAAACTGCCAATTTGCGAGGACATAAAGATAGATGTGGGCCTCGTACCCAGGAATTATTATTCAGACCTTCACCAAAAAACAGTAACACTCGGCTTGAACAATGAATTTTCTGAGTATTTTGATTGAGAATAATATGTTTTATCATTAATTATTTCCTGTATTTTAGTTGATATTCTGACTGACTAACTATCCGCCTATTGTTATTCTTTATGAACCATACTGAATTTGATTGAACTTCTACTATCCAAATAGTGCAAATAACGTATTACGCGTAACCTATAGTGCTAAAACGAACTTAGCCTTATGTTTTGCCTTATTAAAAAAAAAAAAAAAAAATCCGTTATAAAAAAAAGTTTACTTTATAATTCTAAGGAAGAGGCGCCACCTATAATTCATTATGCAACATTATTCGTATTCCTAATAGAGGGTGTAAAATATTAACCATCAACGTTGTTGTCAATCAGATGACTCAGAATAATTAATTAATTCCAATTGAACATCGTGTTTATTAATGAACTTTGCTTGAATTTAGAAAGTAGGTCACTAATTACAAAGCTTGTAAATACTGTTGAGTTAGCATTCTAGCTGTTAATATTTACGATTGCTGTACGTACTTCCTGATGCTCCAACTTAAGACCTGCACTTAGCATGTGTGTGTCCCATATTTCTCATTAGTGATTAAACGCCAGTTGTCGGGCTCTGATAATTTTGGTCTAAACGCAATTCACACTCGGCTGAATGTCGACTGGCTACACTTATCAC